TTTTAATCGGACCAACTGTCACCAGACACTAAGATAATATAATATATTCGACTAAGGATCATTGGTTAAGGATTACACAACATTAAAGTAAACTTCTCAATAGGCTCAACCCCACATAAGTGGCCACTAACATATAATATCAATTTATTTTGTAATCCTTAAACAAGTCTAGAACAAAATGTTACTCCCTCCGTCCCACATAATATGAGTTTATTACTGTAGACACGAGAATTTGGGTTAAATATAATTAGTAAGTAATTAAAAAGTGTATCAATAAAAATAATTATTATTTAGTAAAAATAATTATACATTAAGATTAAAATAAGTAGATAGTTTAATTAAAATTAAGATAATTATAAATTTAAAATTTAAAATGCGATTAAAGTGCATAATTATATTTCCAAAAAATAGAAAGGACAAGTTATGTGGGACGGACGAAAATAAAAAAATATGGACAAATTATGTAGAACGATATGGACAAATTATGCGGGACGGAGGGAGTAATATATATATATAGTAAGTGTATACCATGTGAGATGACATGATAAAATAAAATTATTATATAATTTGTTATGAAATATATAGAAATAAATTATAATTAAAATAAGTACACGATGAATTTTGCGTTCATGCATTTGTATTGTATATGAAATAATAAGGATTCAAACAAACAATACATATTTTTATTACACATAGTATGTATATGTTATTTGTAATAAAAGTATGTGTTCTTTATTCATAATTACAGTGTATGTTGTGTGAGACTATATTATGTGTTATGTGTCGTTAATTCATTTATTGTATTTGTATTATATTAACTTATATTGTGTGTTATTTGTGATAGTACCGTGTTTTGCCCGTTCGCATACACTGTGCTATTTAACACATAGCTGGATTTTTATTCAACATTATAGTCGTCGTCTATATTTATTTATATATATATATTAAAAGTTTTCACGTACTATTTATTAATAATAAATACAAATATCTTGTTTTGAATAAAAATATTACATTTAAATTCTATTTTCTAGACAAAATATACTTATTATCTATTTAATTCTTTTTACCGTACTCAAAACCTTACAAAACTTTTTTAAAAATAGAATTGCAATTAATTATGGAATGATGTGGTAGGTGTTCAAATCCATTCATATCTAACCCAAACTCACTAATCCTATATTTGTAAATGCATGTACACATATATTTAAAATTACCTCGTGGTGTGGGGTTTATTAAAAAAATAAAATAAATAAATAAATAAAAGATGAAATCGAATAACAATTAAATTAGGGGATTAGTTGACACTTATTATAATAATTATCGAATAAATAAATAAATAATGACAATAGAGTGGGGAATTAATTTGAAATTTCAAACTAAAGGCTATGGCGGTGGATGTGGCAAGTGGTTTTAATTATTTATTATGATTACTTTCGGGTGTGTTTGTTCGGGGGATTGGATTGGATTTACACTATTCATCCAATTTTTTCCCCTAAAAAATATCAAATCAAACATCTATTTTTTATTTTTTATATTATACTAAAAAATAATTTTACATTTAAAATATCACATCAACGCCTATTTATATTATATCATACAACTATTTAAATTCAAAATTTTTACTATTTAAATCTCGACTTAAAATCCAAATCCTGGACAATTTTGTTAATTAATTTCAGCACACTTGCATTCATCAATTATTACATTTTATTTTTAATTCTGACAAGTAAAGTTTAAATATAGCCTAATAAGGACGTCCACATGGTTGGTAGAAGGGGAGGAAATATTAATTTAAATATATAATATAATACAATTGTGTTTGGCACTTGGGAGCTGTGTCTGTGATTGATAATAATAATAATAATAATAAATTAAATTAATAAATGTATGGTTTTATATTTCAAATATTTTTATTTTAATTTTTAAAATCTAACATAAAAACATAAATAAAAAAATATTGTTTGACTGTGAACAGTGAAGATCCAATCACAAACTCACACCTTAACAGATTCTTACATATTTCGAAATTAGTCATTAACGAGGGTTCATATATTTTTTTATTTTTTATTTTTGGCTTTTGAGCTATTAATCTAATATTGGTTTGAATATTATATTTTGAATTTAAAACTAATTATATATTCTCTTTAATTTTAAATTTCCATGAATTAATATTAAATATATCATTAGTATGACTAATAGCATAAAAAAAAAAATATATATATATATATATATATTCTTCACTAAAAGTGAAAACAGAAAAATGGTAATAAGCAATTAATCAACTTTAAAAGGAAACTAACTTAATATTTATCTCGTCCCAACAGAGTTGTCTTGTTTTTCTATTTTCGTTTGTTCCAAAACAATTGTGTTGTTTCTTTATTTAGTAACTGTGGTTCCCACTTTATAACAAAATTACTTTTACTTTTCCTAACTATCTCTAATTATTACTTTAATCTAATTTTTAAAATCATTAGCAATGGTATTTTAATATTTTACCTTCTACTTTATACAAACTTTCAGTTAAATATTATTATTCGTTAATCTCCGTGCCCGCTCCCAACAAGACATCTTTTTTGGGATGGAGGGTGTTTTTGGGTGATTTGTATTATTCCCACAATTTTTTTTTTAAAAAAGATATCCAAATTAAAAATATATTTTTTATTTTTTATATTATAGTAAAAATTAATTTTACATTCAAAACATCACATAATGCAATTATTTCAATTCAAAAATTTTACTATCCAAATCTCAATTCGAAAGTATGATATTATTCGATAAGGGTAGAGTCCATGCGAATTTATTTTTAAACTTTCTGAAAATGCTTGTGTGTGAATTCTTTTTTTCTAATTTTGCAACATGAGACTTACATACAAATATTTAATAACAAATACTTTTTTCTTTTAGTATTTAAGTATGAATAGCATTAGAGGAATAATATTAAGAAATACTCCTTTCGTCCCGTCGTTATGGCCTCTTATGCTTTGTTTTTCATTTCAGAAATAATTCTTTTTTTATTTTTAGTAAATTTATTTATCTTAAATATACTTAATAAATATATAAATTAATTTAATTAAATTTTTAACATTTTACAAATAGGATCCATTCAAAACCCTATTTATTTATATTATCTCATCAATCTATATATTTAAAATTTTCATTTTTTATAAAGTTAGTTTTAAATTAAATATAAATGAATATATATTTTATTTATTTATTTATTTATTTGTATAAATAGAATTTTATTATTTACGAAGATCTATATTGTATATATTTTATTGGAATATAATGATAAAAATATACTCTCTCTGTCCCTTAACAATCTATCCATTTTTTCATTTTGGTCCGTCCCATAACAAAGTATTCGTTTCCTTTTTTTAGTAATTGTACTATCTACCTAACATTACAAAATACCCTTCTAATTTACAATATATTACACAAATGTCATTACCTTTATATCATACAATACTAATAGGGTTAATTTAGTCTTTTTACCTTTATTTCTATTTTATCCCAATATAATACTAATATTTCTAAAACTCCGTGAAAAAAACAAATGGATAGATAAATAGGGGATGAAGGGAGTATATAATACCAACAATACTATTCATATAAAAATAATATAATAATTTATTAAACTACATTACCCAAATAAACGTTTCTAATTAAAAAGGTCATCATATAAGGATTGAAGGAGTATTAATATTTCTTAATAATTTTAAGGATAACTTTAGCTATAAATAATAATTAAAAAAAATTATATCCAATTTATATGCATCAGTTTACTTATCAAGTAATTAAAAAATATTAATATTATATGTCCATAATAATATAATATATTAATCTCTCTGTCTCGGCTATTGTGTTTTTTTTAATAGTAGATACGAAAATTTAGGAAGTGTATTAATAAATAATTTTAAATTAAAATTAAAATTAAGATAACTAATTAGTTTTATTAAATTTAAAAAAATTAAAATAAGATTAAAATGTATAATTTTATTTTATTTTTTAAAAAATGACAGAATATGTGGGACATATAAAAATAAAAGAAATGAACACTAGAACGAAGGAAGTAATATTTAATTGAAATATAAAAGTATTTTATTGCATAACAAGGCTATATAAACTCAATTAAAACTACACATATTAATCGTGCACAATCAAAAATACTATTTTATCTTTCGTTTAAATTTAAATTTATTTAAATATTTGAACATATATTTCAAAGACGAAGAAAGTATGGCATGCGCGTTTTAAATGTGGACGGTGGCAGCAAACTAACTTCTAGACTTTATTTTTATTATTATTATTATTTTTTTATGTATCATTTTTTTTAATACTGCATAGTTTCTTGGGTGTGTTATTTTTTTGGATTTTTTTAATATAATTTTACTATTAAGTTTTTCTTACTCTAAAAATATTAAATGAATTGGCTCCATTCATATAGTGTTTTTTTTTAATAATTTCTGCGCGTGATACGGAAAATTGTTTCAAAAATATAAAAATTGAATATTTAATTTTTTATTATATATTTATTTTTATAATGAATATTTTGATTTTTTGACTTTTATATAAAATATTTTTCATTTTTTATTATTACATTTTTGAAGAATTACAAACGAAAAATGATGCTTAAAAAACAAAAAGAATAATTTTTTTCATTCTTTATATTATATTAAAAATTTTAAATTAATATATATTTATATCAAATTTATCTATCCAACATTCCAAATTCAAACCATTTTTTAACTAAATTTTACATGCAAATTATTAGGTCGTTCAAAAATAGCAAAAACGCTAAAATTTAAAAAAGACAATCCAAACACGCGTTTACTTTAATTTAAAAGGTCTGAAAATGGATAAAGATTAAAAAAAAAAAAAAAAAAAAAAAAAAAAAAAAAAAAATAGAAGAAAAGAAGAAGAAGAAAAGTAAAAGATAATATAAAGAAAGGCATGAGATTTGATCTATTTGGTAATCCATGGCAGCCCGTCCATTATAAAAATAGCCACCACCATCACCATTCACTCTCAAGACTACTGCTGCTCAGTAATAGTTAAAATTCTCCTCCTTTCTTCTTCAATCAATTGATTAATGGGTGAGCAGTATGACCTTAGCAAGATCCAGGAGCAAGTGGACAGGTACATCAATGCCGGCTTCACCCGCAACAATTTCCCGGCCGACTTCGTATTCGGCGCCGGCACCTCCGCCTATCAGATCGAGGGCGCCTACAACGAGGGCGGCCGCGCCCTCTCCTGGTGGGACTCCATCACCCTCCACACTCCAGGTATATTTATATATGTTTAGAGCTGTCAAAACAGATTAACGGCCAAGTAATAAATACTCATTCATCAACTATTATTTTTTATTTTTAGTATGAACAACATAATTTTACAGTCACAAGTTCACTTGAAAGCTCTTCTATGGCATATATTAAAAAACTAGTATTCCTATTGGTGTAGAAAAAATCGAGGGTGGCGGCAACGGGTGCGTGGCCATCGACCACTACCACAGGTTTCGGGAAGATGTGCAGCTCATAAAGAGACTAGGGGTTGATAGTTACAGGTTTTCCATATCATGGCCTCGAATATTGCCCGGTAACATACTCTCGATAATTTTTCGCGTCATAAAAAAAAAAAAAAAAATTATAATTAACTCTATTTTAATTTAATTTAAGCTAGTATGAATTATATGTGGTTAACAAGTATGACTATGAGGTAATTAATTTAGGTGGAAACTTGGCCGGGGGCAAGAACAAAGAAGGCATCAAGTTCTACAACGAGGTCATCGATTGCTTGCTCGCCAATGGTAAGATTTAACATTAAAATAACATCAATTTCATAAATCTTAATTGTCATATAATTTATAAAAACATTAAAAATAACATCAATTTCATTTGAAATACAATCTACATATATTTTGAGTCAATAAAAGTTATTTTATCTACTAAAACTACGTTTTTTTGAGTCAATACAAATGTAGTTTAATATTATAGTAATTGACTGTGAGAAAAATTAAAATATATTATGAAAGATAGATGAGTAAGTTAACAAAGTGATTTTTTTATTTTGGATAAAATTAGTGTGTGAATAATTATATCATATTTACAAATGAGTATAATATTGAAGAATAGAAAACTAAAAGGTGTGTGAGTTTTTTTTTTTTTTTTTTTTTTTTTTTTTTTAAAATTATAAACAAAAAAATATATGCTTTTATGACAAAAAAGAAAAAAGAAAAAATGGTATATCTAGCTGATGAAAGAAGTAGATTGTTTTTTCTTATAAAATATTTTTTAAAAAAAAGTAATTTAATAATACTTTAACAATTTTTAATAACTAACAAAAATTTCAAAAATAAAAACACTAAAGGTTTGTTTACAAACATACTTTTGATATTTGAAGTTTTTTTTAAGGGTGTGTTTGTTTGGGAATTTTCCCCAAATTCACTATTTATTCAATTTTTTTCTGTCAAAAATAACAAATTAAATATTTATTTTTTATTTTTTATATTATACTAAAAATTATTTTTATATTCAAAACATCAAATGAGCACGTATTTATATTACATTATACAATTATTTCAACTATTTCAATTTAAAATTTTTAACTCAAAATTCAAACCCCAATAAATACACCCAATTTATTTAACAATAACTGTTTTTCTTTTTTTTTTTTTTTTTTTTTTGTTTTTTGAATTGAAAATATTATATTAAAAGGATAAATATTTTGACATTACCTCCAAATCCAATATCCGACATTATCCCGAGTCATAAATGATTAGCGATTGTGAGTGGAGGAGTGGGCAGGGCAGGGTAGATAGTGACAAGTGACATTGATACTGCAGGAATTACGCCGTCCGTTACCCTCTTCCATTGGGACACCCCGCTGTACCTCCAAAATGAGTATGGTGGCTTCCTAAGCCCTCGTATCGTGTAAGAATTATTAACCAATCTATAATCTTTCTATATATCTAAATAAAGATACTAAATGGTTTCGATTTCAATTTTGACTTCGATTTTGTCAGAGACGACTTTGCGGAGTACGTAGAAGTGTGCTTTGCGGAGTTCGGCGATCGCGTCAAGTTCTGGGTGACGATCAACGAGCCCTGGTCGTACGCCATCAACGGCTACTACATGGTTGCCTCCCCTCCGCCGAGCGTGGCGCGCACGCTTGCCAAGTCCAAGTACGATCTCCGGCCGCTGTCCCACCGTTCCATGCCGGGACAGCTGGTGGCCCCCACGAACGACGCCGGCACCTGGCCCTACCTGGTGGGCTATCACTTGCTCCTGGCTCATGCCCGGGCCGTCCAAGTCTACCGCCGCCTCTTCCAGGCCGTTCAAGGCGGCAAGATCGGCATCACCAACATGACCACCTGGTTCGAGCCCTTCACCGACACTCAGGATGACATCGACGCCGCCTCCAGAGCCGTCGACTTCAATTGGGGATGGTAATCAAAATCATTTCAATTTTTGTCTTGTCTTGTCTTGTGTAACTTATCTTGTGTATAAATAATAAATACACTTTCTCCTTGTCTGCTTTTAATCAATCAGGTTTACGGCACCCGTTGTAACGGGGGACTATCCGCAGGTAATGAAGGATCTGGTCGGAGACCGCCTACCGCGGTTTACGGCCGAACAGTCCAAACTGTTGAGGGGGTCCTACGACTTCATCGGAATGAATTATTACACCACCAATTGGGCTGCCAACAAGGTCTATCCGCCGGACACGCCGCCCTCTTATTACACGGATCAACAAACTGAATTTATCAGTAAGTAGTACCACTAATAATTATATATTCCTTCCGTCCCATTGAAAGGTTGCCATTTTTTATTTTCGTCCGTCCCCAAACAAGGTTACAATTTTCTAATTTAGTAATTATACTACCTACCTAACATAATAAATATTTTTTCAACTTACACTATATTATACAAATATCATTACTTTTATATTAAACAATACTAATAGGGGTATTTATGTCTTTTTCACTACAACCCATTATAATAATAATATTAAAAAATCTACGTTCAAAAAATAAACGGCGACCTTGCACCGGGATGAAGGGAATATATATATATATATTAATTAAATATCACTTCCATCAAGTAAAAGACAATTAATCCATGTCTTGTACAATCTTTTTAGCTGAACGAGACGGCGTCCCGATCGGTAAACCGGTAAATATACATATATAGTTCGATGCTTTAAATTAATTAAGACTAAATTTGAGAATAAAAATGTTCGATCGAATATCACAATAACTTGTTTTATAAATTCAGGCCGGGTCGAAGTGGCTGTTCGTTGTTCCACGGGGCATATACGAACTTCTTAAGCATACACAAGCAACGTATAACGATCCCATCATTTACATAACGGAGAATGGTATATATATACTAGCTGCATATGCATATGCAAATCAAATAATTCAATTTATACTAAAGCCAATCCATATACTATATTTTTTTTTTTTTTCTAATTTATTTATTTATTTATTTATTTACATAGGTAGGGATGAAGTAAACGATCCGAATCTATTGGTAAGCCAAGCCCGACAGGATCCGGAGAGAATCGATTACCATGTTCAACATTTGGGTTACATAAAGCTAGCCATGGAGTAAGTTGTATTACACTTTTATCTTTCTAATGAGTTTGTTTCAAATGCACTTTCAATCCATTTTTTTAATACTATCTACGGTAATCTATTTTATTATTATTATTCTCTTTCAAAATATCACGTAAAAAAAAACTTAAATTATTGCATTTATACTTTCGAAAATTTTATTAATACTATTTATCAATTATAGTTTCTTCAAAATAATAGTATGAAATTAAATATCTATTTTTATTTAAAATATTATATTAAATTCTTATTTTCTATATACAACACAACTTCTGACAAAAATTTATATCATTTTTATACTTATCTTTTATTAAACCTTTTCTATTTTTAAAATTTTAAAACTCTAACGGTATTTCTTTGAGTTTGGATTGAAAAGATTTAATTTGGTTTTCTTATTTAAATAATATTTAATTTAATATTTTGTGAGAAAAAATATTTATATTTAAAAAAATGTTAAATTCAAATAGTAGTAAAAATTTTGGAAGAAAAGCCAAAGAAATATACCCTGAGGGTTTGTTTGGTTTGGTTTGAGTTGAGTTTTTTTATTCGAATTTTAATTTAAATAGTATTTTAATATAATATCTTATAAAAAAATATAATAATATATATTTTTATCGGAAACTATATAAACTGAATGGTATTAATATTATTTTACAACTAAAAACAAACAAATTTTCGAAAAATTTTATTTAAATAAAGTCTCATTTTGATCTATCAAATAATATATATATACACACACGGTATACTTAAACGTATGGTGTGGTGATGCAGTGAAGGCGTGCGAGTGAAAGGGTACTACGCGTGGTCGTTGATTGACAACTTTGAGTGGACCGTAGGATACACGGTGAGATTTGGCTTCTATTTTGTCGACTACCTTAACAACTACGAGAGAACTCCCAAGGACTCGGTGTATTGGTACATGAACTTTCTTAAAAGAGATCTCATCCCAATACCCAAACGGCTGCCGGAGGAGGAAATTGTTCAAGACACCGCCAATGCGGCCACCAAAAAGAGAAAAGGTCGTTAGGTTCACCAACGAGTTCAATTGAGCTAACTGGCCAATGCTTGTCTTTGATTTATTGTGTCGTCTGAATAAATATATTAGCAACTTAGTTCTTGCTAATATGTTAGTTATCTGTTGTTGTTTCTTCTTCATTTAGTATTTCATGTTTCTTCGTGTTTGTTCGATGAATTTTTATGTTATCTTCTTTTTAATTATTTTATACCTATAAAAATAATACTACAAATTACACTACAAGAAAAAATTATTTTTGTAACAAAATTTTTTTGTCTCTAAATCTACTTTTTCTGTTACTAATTACATTAGAAACGGAATTAGTAACGGAATTAGGTTAGCTACGTGAACTTTAGGGACGGAATTCCGTTACAAATATATTATTTTTTTGTAGTGTTATAAAGACAAACCAAACTATATTATTAAAGAAAATACTACAATTTAAAATGTTGGTGTTAAATAGTATATAAAAAAGGTCGGTTGTTATTGTACTGACTGTATAGTCATCACACACTACCAAAATATTGATTTTTTGTAACGATAAAAAATTCGTAACAAAATTTCAATTATTTGTACAAAACAGCATTTTGTATGAACTTTGTTACAGATTTTTTACTGTAACAAAAAGTCACGGTACAAAAAATTATTGTTGCAAAAAAATCCGTAAAACCGGTTCAGTGGGGGTCGGTGGGTTGAAGAAAGTGGCTGATTATCAAGCAATTCTGTGGGCATTGCAACCACTGCTCCGGCCACAAAGCAAGGAACTTTAGACGATTAATGCAATATTGAAATAACCGAACGATGGAGGTTAAGAACGATTATTTGAGGACATTTAACATTAAGCATCACCAGTAATGAAGACGGACATCTTCAATTCTCGTCAAGATTTCAATGGAAATTCTATTGAAGATCACCACTTTACATTTCTTCCCTATTTTGCTCGCTTTATTTGAATAATTACGTTTGGTATTTAGAGATCAATCATCTCAAGCTCAAAATATCAAATTTGAAATTATTTGAATTTTACTTTTATTTTGTTGAAAGTCCTACTCAACCACTATATTATACTAAATTTTAATTTTATATTTAAAACATAACATCAATACATAATTATATCCACTTAAATAATTATTTCAATTTAATATATATAAGAGTTGCCAAACACTAACATGACACAATAATTTGATACCAACCTAACACGTAATAATTGAGTTTGGAAAAAAGATTTTGACCCTTATATATACGGATCAATACGGACTTGACACGATAATAAACAGGTCGGACAAGGTTTGAAATTTTCAATTCGAACCCGACACAATTAACCAATTTACAATTTATTAATACTCCCTTCGTCCAGCTACAAAGTATACATATTTTTATTTTGGGACGTCCAATTACAAAGTAAACATTTCATTAAATACTCCACTTTTTTCCACAAATACCCTTACTTTACATCACATCATTACTTTTATACCAAAAAGTAAGGGCAAAAATATCATTACACTACTTTTACCTATCCACTATAATTAAAATACTATTATTTCTTAAACTTCGCGCCAAAAGTAAATGTATACTTATTGTGTGCACGGAAGAAGTATTAATTAATGTATTTTTAAAAATATTATTTTTATATGGAAGAATATCTATATTCTTACTATTTACAGAATTATTGTACATGCTTTTGTTTTTTTACTTGTCATGCTGAATCAATTTGTAGCTGTTCGCTGGCGTCTTGCTAAATTGTTGGTACTTAATTTCAAATTGAGTAATTTAATTAGTTTAGACATCGAGTCCAACTTACATTATTATCTTTTTGTAAGGATATAATATATATTTGATATATTATGTTAATCTATATTATATTTTTTTATTATATTTATAATAATGATTAAAAAAAAAAAAAAAATCTCCTAACATTACTCAATTAGGAATTATTGAATTAAAATTAGACCAATGTAATTATTGTAAGCTGTGAATAAAAACACGTGTGAACATTACTCCGTTTGGATTTATTCAATTTATTCCTTTTGGATTTATTCAATTATTGTTAATAATTAAGTGTCTACATATATATATATATGTATGTATATATCGCACGAATATATATACTTTTTTGTCTTAGTTACTCTATTCACATTATCATTTCGGTGTGTTTCGCATTTTATATAATTTTCTTTTTTAAAACAAATTATATAATTTAATTTTAATTAAATTAATTAATTATCTAATTTTAATATATAGTTATTTATATCAAAAAATTATTATTTCATTAATATATATTTTTAATTATTTATTAATTATACTTCTCGTAAATTTTTATTCGTTCAGACACAATAATTAAGAGTAAGAGAATAATTGTTTTCAAAAAGACATATACTAACATTTATTTTTTGATATATATATATATATGTATAATAATGATTTCATCGTAAATATTCCTTTCACATGCCATACCATTATATATTTGCAATTTTAAATCAAATATTATACTTAAAAAATTATAGGATGTTGTTCCTTTAAATATATCAGGACTTTTAATGTGAAATACACCATTTTACAGAAATCTAATTGTAAAAGAAATTATTGAACTGCATACAATTGTTTTGAATTATAATAAAAATGTAAATTTCTTGAAAAACTTCCTCTTAAAAATAATAAATGAAATACATATTCCTTATTTTATATTATCACGGCGACTACAATGCTGAATTTAAAATTCATTACTGTACTAAATAGTACACCATGTGCTATTTTACAGCACACGATGTTACCATAAACAACTCATAATATACTTTAATATAATACAAATACAATACATAATCTAACAACACATGATATAGTCTCATACAACACATACAATACTTGATTTCAGCACATGAAATAGTCTCATACAACATACGCTATAATTATGAACTAAAAACACATATTTTTATTACAAACAACACATATTGTATATAATAAAAACATGTGTTGTTTCTATATTTTACATGTGCTGATTTGGAGAATCAGCATGGTGTTAATTTTTCAAATTCAGCACCCTAACATTTCTCTTATATTATATATTAAAGCAAAATTATTTATAATTTATTTGTGGTTTGAAAAGTCAACATCATACTCTCCGTGTTTTAGAAATTACATAGGACTTTCTCGTATTTTTAAAGATATTGTATATAATTTCCTAAAATTGCCTGAGATTCCTTTATATTTTTAAAAATATTACATAAAATTCCCTAATAAAGAATTTTGTGCAATATTTCAAAGAAAAATAAAAAAACAAAGGAGTCTCCTGCAAAATTTTAAATAATAAGGGATAATAATGCAAAGTTTTTGAACCACAAGTGGTACAAAAGTAATTTCGTCTTAATTATCAATTTAACATTCAAAATACCATATCAATATCTATTTATATTATATCAAAAACTTTTCTAATTCAAAATTATATTATTTAAAACAGAAATCCAAAATACAAACTCTTAAACACACACTGATTATTTTATTTCGGACTTTGTTCAATTTTTTATGTTTAGATTCTTTTTTACTACAATATACTCATAAGTTTTACATTTTTTTTTCTTTTTATTGACATATACTCCCTGTTCCAATGAAATGTACTATTTTATTGTTTTACAATGTAGTTTATTGGTTAGCAGAAATGTTTAAGATGATTTTGACATATTTTGTCTTACAAGTACAATATAAATAATAAATTTTTTAAAATTTAGTAGTATTTTGATATTTGTATATGAATTAATTTAACCGTAATAAGAACATATGAAAATAATAGAAAAAAAGTATATTAATTGAGACGAAGAAAATATATATTTAAAGTAATTACATTCAAAGAAAAGATCAGGATCAAAATATGTTAGAAATTTATTTGCAGTCCAATTCGAACCCATCTAACCCGGATCCACCTAAACTGATATAGATATGATTGAAAACCCAAATCTCATCCATTTCACCATAATTATTACTTTGTATTCTTCATAAGATCTCTTCCTCTTGAGAGTAAAAAAATTGGGATTTCCCTTGTATAATTATCATCCCGTATTTGGCCTTCCGCCTTCTTGCGGTAAGGTATGTCTTCTCCTAATTTTGTTGATTTATCCAAAAATCTCCCTTAACTATATAATTCAATGGGTTTTAAGGGGAGAGGTGAGCGAGAGAGAACATAAACTCAGTGCTACTTATCAGTTCTTTCCTTCGCTTTGTGCTCATCGGATTCTTGTTTCAATCTCCTCCCTTAATATGACTTTGTGTCAATTGTATTCCTTTGCAGGAAAGATTAGAAAAAATTGTAAATGAAAAATCTTTGCTAAACAAACTGTTTCTATTTGAAAATTTTTTCAAATTTAAATTTGATTTAGATCAAACGATTGATGAAATCTTGATGTCTTCACTAAACTTGTTTCCGATAATAAACAGACATGAGATACAAATATTGACGAATACACTCATATTTTGTTTTTTGAATGCTATTTATGAATTTTTTTCTAATATTAAACTTCTATTAAGTATGATAAAAGATAGTATAAAAAATTAAATGTTTAGATTAATAGGAAAGATAAACAAGGACTTGATGAAGTTTTGCTAATTACGGGTAGATAGTTAAGTTAATCTCAAACCTCAACATCTATTTTTGGCATAATGACAAAACCATTTTCTACTTCTGTGGTCGTTGGCTTTCAAAAACAGCAACTCTGGGCTTGTTGGTGGAGTCCAATCAAGCAGCCCTTTTGTCCCTTCAAGTTTGGTGGTTGCTCAAGACAATATGGACATCTTGAATTTGTCTTTTTGTGTTCTGAACTGATTTGATACCACACGATACCTTGGTTGGATCAAAGGAAATATATTATATGTCAAATCATGGTTTTTTTGTGTGTTTTTTAACATAGCTTGAAGTTTTGTGGGAAGTTAAGTGAGAGAGTGATTTTGAGAGATTGGGTAGTAAGAGAATTATTGTGTTTATCCTTTCAAGCACTTCCCTTCCCACCTCCATGTACTAAGTGAGTGATTTACACTTTATCCAGCCGGAGAAGTTTGATGGTCGAAGGAAGATCGGAGTTCCGATCATGGGAACATTCGAACTCTGAGCAGCCCAGCTATGTGTTAGTTGTTAGTACGCGTTTGTAACAACTTATGCATGTGGAGGGAATTTCCTAGGTGTTTAGCTTGTAGTTTGGGTTGAAGGAGGTTTGGGTGT